CACCGAATTCGAATTCAGGTCTCTTGCCAACATAGTCACAGAGTTGTTATGGATTCAGTCTCTACTATGAGACATTGGCTTTCTAGCTCCTCCCCCTATTATATGGTGCAATAATATGGGTTCTACCCACTTGGCTGCCAACCCTATTTTCCATGCTCGCACAAAGCATGTAGAGGTTGACTACCATTTCCTACAAGATCTTGTCACCAAGAATTAGCTTCAAACTCGGTATATTCCAACAACAGAGAAGATCGTCGACATCTTCACTAAGCCACTTTCCACAGCCTGCTTTGCTTCTCTTCGGGACAAGCTTCTCGTTACCCCGTTCAGCTTGCAAGGGGATGATAACATAGACATTGTCCATGGGCCCATGCATGGTCCATGCATACCTACATAGCCTCCAAGCCCATTTAGTAGAACCAAATCCTATGGGCTCTTGTATATAACTAACTAGGATAATCCCATTTAGCAGAACCAAATCCTATGGGCTCTTGTATATAAATAACTAGGATAATCTTACTCCTACCCAAGATAAGAATTATCCTAAACAAGGTAGGATAATCCTAATCCTATCCTAAGATAAGATCTATCCTAGATAAATCACAACTAACCTAGATAAGCTCTACCTCTTGTAATTCTAATCTTGTGTGATCCTACTACAACTCAATCTCTGTAACTATAAATAGGGCTGGTTCGCCCCATCAATGCAGGTTAGCCATATTATTCTTTGAGCTTGTCTTCTCTTTAATTTATGTTATTATTTTTATTCTATTTGTTTGTTTTAACTTTACAACCAACTCGACTTTGATATGACGAAAATGAGGTTTCCAAGCAATTTGAATGTTTTAGATTTGTCCTACAACAACTTCCATGGCAGCATTCCCAAGCAGGCGATTCCAAGCAACTTGAATGTTTTGAATTTGTCTCATAACAAGATTCACAGTGGAATTCCCAGGCAAGTAATAGAATTGGATTTGATCATAATGGATTTTAGTTATAATCGGTTGTGTGGAAGGATTCCAGTTGGTGGGAATGTATAGAAGATGGGTGCCAAATCATTTGCCCATAATCGGTGTTTGTGTGGTCCACCTCTTCCTAATAACTGCAAGTAAATCAGTTGGCTTCAATTGAAAGAAGACACCTTGATTCCTCATACGACATTGTGTGGAGATTCAGATTTCAATAGTTAACTAGCAAGGACTCGTATGATGCATAGGAAAATCTGAAAGATTTAATATTTTTATTTTTCATTTAATGTTGATTTATAAAAAATAATTATTGATAATTGAATATGAACAAATATTTTTAATAAATTTAGTTTTATTAATAATTTTTATTTTTTATTATTTTTAAATAAAATTTTGATTAATTTTAAATAAATAAAAATAATTATAAAATATAACATTTTTATTAATTCCAATAATAATTAACAATTATCTAGGAATGACAATGGGGTGGATTCTGGGCAGGGCACCCCATCCCTTTCCATGATCCATAGTCAAGACACTCTACCCATCCCCGCCTTGTCCCTAGTGTCATGCGGTTTCAGGGCAAGGTAACCACTTCTCAATGTATCCTTTTGAATACAATTTTCTAAAAGTACACTAAATTGTCTTTAATATTCAAAAATGTAATTTTGTGAAAATTTTGGAAAATTTATTGTACTTCTATAATCTTGAAATTGAAATTTATTTAAATTTTTATTAAGTAATTTATTTTCTTTTTAAATGGTGACTTACAGAATTATACTAATTTATCTTATAATTTCTAATAAAAACTAACCAATAATTTCCTTTTTCCAATATTATACTAATTTATCTTAATAATTTGTGTAATTATTTGTTCAAATTATAGTTTTCCATTTCCCATAGTCATTTAACTTTAATAATTTTCAATAATTTGCAATGAAAATTACATAATTTTTCAATGGTTTTCCAAAATCTATCAACTGTAATAAATTTTCCTAAAATTTCCAAAATATTCTAATAATTTTCAATAATTATTTAATGCATTTTAAATAAAACTTCAAATACTTTATATCTTTTAATTTCAAAAATGTTATTTTATGAAAATGTAGTTTTATGAAAATTTTTGAAAAATTTATTACATTTGTGTAACTATGGGAATTTATTGATTTTTTAAATTGTTATTAAATATATTTTTTATTTGGTAGTTTACTAACAAAATTACACTAATTTATCTTTTATTTTTCAATATAAATTAATTAATTATTTCATTTTCTAACATTATAATATTTTGTTCCCCCATTTGTATTTGGTTATTAATTATAATAATAATAATAACTAAAATTTTATAGTTTTGATAATTTTTAAATATAATTCTTGATTTTATAAAAATTAGTTAAAGAGTTGTTAGCACCCAAGTTTTTCTCGGTCCCTTTACCCTACCTCTTTGTACTCCCTTTTTGCACTCCAAAAACTTAAAACACAAGTAGATCAACTTGAGACTTTCCAAACCCGAAAAATCCTCATTTGACCCTATCCACAGGACAAACAAGAACCTTGATTAGACATCACCCCCAAACTTGAAAAACTATAACTTAGTTACGTATAAATTTTCATGACTAAACTCTAAAGATTCACCATTCATCACGCCAACTTCATTTCTAACGGCCCCGATCTATGCGATATCAAATTCCAACTCCTCCAAAATCAAATCCAACATATCCATCACCCCAAGATCACTAGGAAATAATCAACTAGCAAATCCCACCACGAATCTTCAACAACCAATTACAAGGACATCAAGATCCCATTCGGATTGCCCTAAATGATTACCAAGATTGACCATGTATTTCTCAAATCAGAACCATCCTCTTGACTTCTCACCTAATCCATACCTACCTACCAAATTGTAGCTCAAAATTCCCTTGTTTAACCCTCCATCAAGCCTAGATCCTATTCTAACAAATCTCATTAATTAGAACATACCATCCATCATCCCAATTTCACATGACAAATCAAACCTTACCACTATGTTTGGAGACCCTAACAACCCTAGCACATCAAATCTCACGACCAAACACCTTTGTTTAACAGTTGAAAAAGTAAAATTCCATTTCAAACCCTTTCGATTGATTGGAAAAACCATAGGTTAAAATCATGATCTGAACTAAATCAACAAATCTACACCTCTGGTCAAAGATCCATCACTTCCATTAGATTCAGGATGATCAAAAGTGCCAACCCACCAAATTTCATCCCAAAATTCCCCTATTTGACCCATCATCGAACAAAGATTTTGTTTCAACAAATCTCATTGATCTGAATTTGTCAGCCATAGATCTCAACCATCCCGACCCCATTTGTCCGATTAGACCTTGCTACTGTTTTCAGAGACCCAAAAAATCCCAGGACACCAAATTTCATAACCAAACTCATTCATTTGACCGTTAAACTAGAGAGATACATTTTTGACGCATCAAATTACATTCAAGTGGGCTTTTGATAAAGAAAAGACACATGTCTTATTGGAATTTGTGTTTGCATCCATTACAGCTAAATGAAATAAATTTGCACTACACTTTACACTCCATATTTGGAAACGATGTAAATAAGTGTGAATGCAAATATGTAGAGTGTACAATGGCCCATATAAATTGCAAAGTTGGGTTAGTTTTGCACTGATAAATTGACCTTCTTACCAAATAGACTTTTAGATGTAATCGATGCAAACACAAATTCTAATAAAGCATATGCCTTTTTTTTATCAAAAGCCCACTTGAATGCAAATTTACTTCTTTTTTATTGATGTAATTTTACATCTTATTATCAATGTAAATATGCACTGGTCTATCATTTGTTAATGCATAAATGTGATTGAACCATAGTGCAAATTTATCCTGAATCGGGATTGAAATTCTATTTGCATTGTTTCCAAACTTAGCCTAAGACTCAGTTTGGAAGGAATACACGTACAAATTTGTAGAGTACAAAACCTAACATTTTATATTATTTTGTATGTATTATATTGTGTATATTTGTATTTGTATTCCCTACAAATTAGCCTAAAGATTAATTTGAAAAGAATATAAATATAAATATATACAATATAAATACATAGGAAATACAAGGTTATGTTTAGCTGTATTTTGATTGTCTGAAAATTAAAAAACAAAAAAAAGGAGAGGCCTTCTCTTGCAAAAGTAGGGCGCATCATCAACATTAGAATGAAACAGAAACAGGGGATGCAGTTGTCGTTTCGGTCGGGCCCAGCATGCCCATGGCACAAGCCCAGACGCCCAGGCGGGCCCAGGCCTTCCATGGGCCAGGCCAGGCTATGAGAGTCATATTTAAAAAAAAAATTAAAAAATAATGAAAATTTTAAAAATATATTAATAATGTAGACAAAAAATTGGAAATAAAAATGTATACATATATTAACATACTATATACATATGTGAATTACACTTGACAGAGCAAGAATCGATCGGTATGGTCTTCTCCATCTCCGTGTCATCTTTTCTCAGCGTAACAAGAATTGTCCATTTCCATGCACTACGAACTGTGACGTAAGAAGTAAGAAATATTGAATGCATATCATAAAAAGAAGTTGGTGGCTTCGTGGGTCTCTTTCTAGCTTCTATGACTACGACTATCCCATGTGTTTGATTTAATATTTGTCGGTTGTCGATACTTAATAACAGACAATTAAACAATTAGACATGATTTATTATGATGAAGACAACTGGCTGAGGTGGCTAATTCATGCGCCATTATTACTGTCAGCTATCATCCAAGCACACAGCATTCCATTAAGGATAGAAAAACCAAGTGACGTTGAGTTCAATTTTCGTTGACTATTTAAACCTTAATCTAGCTAATATATCAGCGTGCTTGCCCACCATCTGTCTCAGCTCAGATTTCCTCTCACAGATCGAATTAGTCTTCACATCCGGAACGTCTCCATGTGGAGAAAAATCTGGTTTCTCTGTCTCTATATATACACATACCCTTGTAAAACTCATCTCAAATAGGGAAATGGATACTCTTCGTAATGGGCGTAGTGCCTCTTTTCCTTTGCTCTCTGTTCTCCTGCTCTTCTTCCTAATCTCCTCCTCTCTGCCATCTCTTACGCTCTCTGCTTCCTCTCTTCGCTGCCATGCAGCTGATAAAAGAGTCCTCTGGAAAATCAAGAAATCTCTAAAAATCTCCGATTATTACTTCGACTCCTGGAATCCCAGTACCGATTGCTGTAACTGGAACTATGTTGTGTGCGACCTTTCAGACCGCGTATCCCAACTCCTCTTCTACAACATCTACACTCCTTTCCAAATCCCGGAGGCCGTCGGTGACCTCCCATACCTGAAAACTCTGGAATTCAGGGACAGTACCAACCTCACTGGTTCCATCCCCTACTCCATCACAAAACTTCCGAGCCTCGAAACTCTAAGCATATGGAACACCAGCCTCTCGGGTCCTATCCCTGAATTTCTAAGCAAGCTCAAAAATCTCAGATATCTCTATCTGGGATACAACCAACTTTCTGGTCCAATCCCGGCTTCTCTTGCAAACCTTAACAAGCTGCAAAATCTCGACCTCCAGTCGAACAAACTCACTGGAAGCATACCCAATTCATTTGGGAGATTCAAAGACGGGGTACTAGCCATTTTCTCTCTTTCTTTATCTCACAACCAGCTGTCCGGTGCAATCCCCAAATCGATTGATGTCTCAAACATCGACCTGTCACATAACAGACTCAGTGGGGACGCGTCAATGTTGTTGAGGGAGAATGGAGCGGGAACATGGATCGATTTATCGTACAACCAATTCGACTTCGATCTGACGAAGGTGAGGTTTCCAAAGGGCTTAATGACTTTAGATTTGTCCCACAACAAGATTCACGGCAACATTCCGAAGCAGGTGATTGAGTTGATGAATTTACAAAGAATGGATTTGAGTTATAATCAGCTGTGCGGAGAGATTCCTTTCGCTGGGAATGTGCAGAAGAACCTTATGAGTGCCAAAGCCTTTGCCCATAATCGGTGTTTGTGCGGCCCGCCGCTCCCCAACAAGTGCAAGTAAATCAGTCGGCATCAATTAATGAAGGAAGACACCTTGAACCACTGAAAGATAATTCAGATTTCAGTAATAACAATAATAATTTCCGGGTGCAACGAATTTGCAGGAACGTGCAGATATGAATATTGTTCTTGTTTTTCTTTTGGATGAATAGCTAGCTAAGATAAAGTTATTTTCTTGTTCTTTTTGTAATTTTTCTTTGTATCACTTCGTTTTTTGGCATGAGTATGCCAATTTAAGATGTTTTGCTACTTCCACCACATATTGACCATCATTTGGTTGTAATCTGGTTCAGATCCCTTCCTTTACTGAAATACGTTTTTGTGGAGAACTCATTGGTCGATCATGATTACCTTTAAATGTTGGAAAGGAAAACTTGAAATCAGGTTGATCTAGTACTTGAGTATTGCAGCATATCGAATGTGTTAATTAAGCATAAATTTGGTTAGGGTACTGTTCTTTATGTCAAGACTTGGGATGAGTTAGAATTGAGTTACCAATTCATACTCGTCTTGGACTAGATTGACCCAACAAAACTCATTCAGTAGTCGGATTTCATCTTTACATCCGCTTCACAGCACATCAGTCTTTCATTAATTAGAAACATATTCCCATGAATGAATACATACAATGGCCAATTGAATAAGATTAATGTTGGGTTAGATTTTATTTCGAAGGATTCAGCTTGTGGTTGGATTATATTGGATCTTATTGCTGATATTGCATCAATTTAAAAAATAAAACGTACATAAAAGTACATAAAATAATTCTCCTTTGGTAATTTTGCTTTTCAAACCATTTGGGTAAAAAATTTGAAAAGTGCTTTCTAACGCAGTAGTACCATTTTCTGTTTGGCAAAAGCACCTCCATTTGTACTTTCGGTGACGTTTTCTGGTGGTTTTGTGGTTTGAGACTGACGATGGTGGTCCGACTTTAGTAGTGGTTAGCGGAGGTAGAGTCGAGAGTTTTATTGAAGGGTGTCACATGCATTCGCATGAAAACGAAAGTACTATTTCGCCACAAGAATGAAGTATAAAAAGCCGGCTTTGTGCTTTTGAAGTTTTTCGTACCTTAAAAATATGAAAGCAAGAAGTATAAAAGTATATAATACAAACACTATATTGTGTTTTTTAGTACATTTATATTTTCAAAAGTATGAAATTACTTTATAAAAATCTATTAAATAGGGATTTTTATATTAAATGTTAAGAATTAAAAACATAATTAAGCAGCATTTTTGTTTGCAAAAATAGCGAGGTAAGGTATGACCAAACCAGCTAGGTCAATTCTAACTCATCCCAAGTCTTGACCAAATGGTTTGATACATATATTTGTGTACTAAAAATGAGAGTTATAATAACTTCCAAGATATGTTAGTACTCAAAATGAGAATATATTTCTTAGGCCATGTTTGGTTTGAAGGAAAAGGTAGGAAAAGGAAAGGAAAAGTAGGATAGGGGAATTGAATCTATACAAGGTTTGTAAGGGTTTCCCTCCCTTTCCTTTCTTTTCCCTACTTTTTTCTTCAAACCAAACATAGCCTTACTGTAAAACTAAACCACACCTTGCATCATTGCATTATACATGAACTGGTCAAAGGGGGGTTTTGAACTGTACATATTTGTTTTAGCAGTAGAAATAAATACATCATTTGAAACATGTAGAGATCAAAAGCTTACTCAAGTGCAAAGTTATAACCACCAGAAGTTCTCACTTATGTTTTAAAATATTTCAAATCTAAAACCAGGACCACTTCGAGGTTTTGGGTGGTTGTAGCTTTTGGTTTTAGGGGTATGAGCAAACCAGCTAGGTGCTTGGATCACAGTTCAAGTGGTTCAACCAGCCGGTCCAGTCCAGTCTACTAAATAGTGCTTATCATGGTTATTATAAAATGTACATATATATACAAGAAAATAAATTTGAAAATTTAGGAAAAAAGATTGGATTTATTTATAGGAAACTACAAATTATTTTTCATATTTTTTGAATTCTAATATTACTATTAGATACAAAAATAACTAGTATATCATTAATCTACATCCCACATAGAAATGGATTGAGTCCATGTCAACAACACGACCACTTGTGTGTCATGGGTCACAACTCAACCATTTGTCAAATAGTGCATCTATACGCTATATTTATAAACTAAAGAAATGAATGCATTGTACAATTGTACAGGGGTATTCACAGATAGGGCCGGATCAGTTACAAGCTGTTTGGCCAACCAAACCAACCTAATCGGGTTATGAAATTGGCCACCCTAAACTGGTCAACATTAGTGAAAATCAACCCAAACGTAAAGAATTAATTTGGGTCGATTTAACAATTTGGTCGGTCAGATCAAAGGACAGCCTAGAAGTAGTTTTCACCATGCAAAATCACACATTGAATGGTTGGACGCCAAGTAAGGTTTTCATTAGGTAAAAATCATATATATTAAATGGTATTATACCATTTTAAAAGCATCCAATGGTTGGACGCCAAGTAGTTTTCACCCGATATTCTCATCCAATGATCTCTTATCGTGTTTCATAAATCATGTAATTTTTCACTCCAAAACTTGTTTTCATTTTAAAAGCATCATTTTAGTGGTTTCGAAAACATATTTCCTTTTTAAAACAAAACTAATTTATTTTTGTTTTTCAAAACAGAAACACAATTAAGAACACGTTTCAAGTTTTTTTTTTTTTTTTCCTCATGTGTTATGGCTTCAAAAACACATGAAAACAAAGGCATTGATGTAGACCAGAGTGGGTTTTCAAAGTTAATAGATCTCCTACCACATCTCAAATCGTTGTAGCTAGAATGGCTATCCCATTCTTATATCTGTCATTCCCCCATTGAAAGTTGAAACGCCAAAACAAAGAAAAAGAAATACAGACATGATCTGGCATGTAGATGTATTGATTTGAACAATATATTAATTAAACGTGTTTGGAAATTGAAATACATTCCAATTCTAAAACAACCAGCAGAAACGTCTTAAAAGCAAATCGTTTTAATATGGGACCCTATTGCCTTGCGCCAGTGGTTTCCAGTTTTCGAGAGAGACAAAGTACCGGTGTCTGTAATCGATTGGACCGACCCAAGAAACAGCAGAAGTCTAACAATGTTTTCTATTATATTTTTGTAAGTTTTATTCCATGAAGGATCAATGATATCAACCTGAAGTCTGAAACTCCCCCATTTTGTTGAATGTTGACCAGTTAAATTTTACTCTGAAGTCGATCTGAAGCGATAGGATAGATAAAACCATGGCCTGACTACAATAAGGTCCCCTATAAATTAACGCACTCATTGCTTCAACTTTTCACCAACTCACCCAACAATTAACTAATGCAGAAGATGGCCACTCATCAGAGACGAGACACTGCTTCTTCTCATTCTTCTTCCTCGCTTTATCTCTGCATAGTTTTCCTCCTGGCCATATCCTCTACGTTCCCAACCCCAACTCTCTCCGCCATCTCTCCTCGTTCTCGTTGCAACCCAGCTGACAAAAGGGTCCTCCTGCAAATTAAGAAATCCATCAACAATCCCCATCACTTCCATTCCTGGAATTCCACCCTTCCATGCTGTGACTGGGACTACGTTCTATGTAACGACTATACACACCGCGTCGTCCAGCTCAACTTTTACGGAATCCAAACCCACTTCCAGATACCGGCGGCCATCGGCGAGCTCCCTTATCTCAGATTCCTTAACTTCGCTGGCCTCCCCAATCTCACCGGCACCATCCCCTACTCCTTCACAAAGCTTCAGAACCTCGAATCTCTCATTATTCGGCGTACCACTCTCTCCTGTCCCATCCCAGACTTCCTCGGCCAGCTCAAAAATCTCCGACAACTTATTTTGTCCTACAACCAGCTCTCCGGCCACATCCCGGCTTCTCTCGGATATCTCAACAAACTGGCTCTTCTTGATCTCAGATGGAACAAACTCAATGGAAACATACCCGACTCGTTCGGGAGCTTCAATTTTGACGATGGCATGGGTTTCATGCTCGATCTATCTCACAACCAGCTGGCCGGTGAGATTCCCAAATCGATGGGTGCATTGAATTTCACAAGTATCGACCTGTCGCACAACAAGCTCGTCGGAGATGCATCAGTGTTGTTCAGGGAGAACACGGCGGCAAGATCGATCTATTTATACAACAACCGGCTCGACTTTGATCTGACAAAAGTGTGGTTTCCGAGGAACATAAATTATTTAGATTTATCTCACAACAGGATTCACGGCAGCATACCCAACCAGGTGATTGAGTTGGATTTGCAAAGTATGGACTTGAGTTATAATCGTTTGTGTGGAAAAATTCCGTTCGGTGGGAATGTTCAGCAGCTCGGTGCCAAGTCCTTTGCTCATAATCAGTGTTTGTGCGGTCCTCCACTCCCTACCAAATGTAAGTAAACCGCCGATTGGCTGAGCTGAAGAGAAAAAGAAAACCTTGAATAATAATAATAATAACAATGTTGTGATGTGAGGTATTCTCTAGAGCATTGTTTGTATTGGTTTTCACATAATCACATGTTTTGTATTAGTTGATATCCTTCATTTATTGTCAATTAATAATGCAATGTATCTTCTGGTTTGGTATGGGGGAGTTCGGCTTCAGTGAGGGCAAAGCTTCTTCCAGCAGCTTTAACTATCTTGCATTGAGAATATCTCTTTATTTGTCTACTTTATTTCATGGATGGAATACAAAATTGCAAAAGGCTGTTAGAACGATATGAGCACAAATTTGACTTGATGGAAACTGATCTGGGTGTGGGGAACAGACCACAAATGTGTGTAATATGGTGTATGTGGAGCAGCCATTAGATGGTGCAAAACAACTATTAAATAATAAAATTGTCGAGGGTAGAGTCCAAGTTCGACTTGGGATCGCCTGCCAATTAAACATATTCCAACCCAACATAATCTGACACTATACATCTCACGGTGAGACTGGGGTCCATCATAAATGTGGGACACACATGTGTGAGATAACGGACTTCCAAGTTCAGTTGCATCCATTAATAGGCATGCAACTTGGGCAGGCTCAGGTTGCGCTTTTATCAGTTTCAAGCCAAAGAAGTATTAGCGAAATTTCTAATTATTTTGGTGTTTGGTTGGCCGATTTTTTAGTTAGAAATCAGCCAATGGGTGAGAAAACAATTATCAAAATTTAGGTCCCATTTGGTTCACGGGAAAGGGGGTTTGAAATCGGAATTGGAATGGGTTATTGTAATTCCAAATGTTTGATTTGGCAGCAGAATCAAAATCTCATTCCCATTCCCAGTGGAATGACATTCCCCATTTGACGCAATGGTCATTTCCTCCCCTTTCCTTGGGAATGAAATACCATTCCTTCTCATTCCAATTTTCATTCCATTCCTATCTGAACTAAAGGGACTATGAAAATAGCCCATTTCCATTCTGATTCTGACTACCAATCAAATGGACCCTTAGATTTTTCATGATGGCATTAATAAAAGGAGGTTTTCTACCTTTTGAAAAAGGAAACCAATTTTTGAGTTATGAATAATGAAAGCACAATGTGTCTCATCTCATTACTAGACTTCTCCAACCACCTCTCCTAATGAATTGTAAAGATTTTGTTGAGACCTATTTAGTGGTGGTCTTCATTAGAATTATTTTCCTTGTTGGGGGTTTGAAATTAAATCAATTCAAAGTCATCTTGCTTAAAATATAAAGGGCAAGTCTCTTAAAATACCCCCAAGTTTTAGGAAATTGAGTAACTCTATTCTTATTGTTTAGAAGTTAACTTAAAGTACCCTCCAAGTTTTTTTGACAATTGACTAAATCTTCCACTACCATTAGCATCTATTATCATTTTATCACAATCCATTCACATGTGATACCACGTGACATAAATTTTTTAAACCCAATATTACCCCTATGTGGTCGATTTTTCCTTTATTCTTCAAATTTTCAAAATAAAACTCAACATCCAACCTGATTACCCGATATTTAGTCACATAATGTCTATACTCTAAAGCTTGTTTTTGTTTTTAATAAAAGCATCATTTTTATGATTTCAAAAACATGATGAGAATGGCTTCTATAACAAAACTTGTTTTTGCTTCTCTAAACTATAAAATACAGTTCAAGAACATGTTTAAGATTTTTCTTTTTCTTTTTTCTTTGTTGATGTGGAAGTTTCAAAGCAAGAAAGTAAAAACATTTATGTTGCACCTTAGTGATGGGTTCTAATTCTTAAAACATGGGTAACTTGTTGGCAAGTTATGGTGGCCCCCAGACAATCTCAGTGTTGAATACACATCTGCGCCACACAATGTCCCACAGCACATTCTGACCTTGTATTAGGAACATCTCCCGATGCTAAGTACGAAAGATTATAAGACATTATTGGGAGATGTTCTCAGTACAAGGTTGGGATGTGCTGTGGGGCATTGCGGGGCACCCCCTTGTGGGGTGCAGATGTGAACTCCTCAGTGTCTGCTGTCCCTACACTAGAAATGCTCCCCCTACACATAAGACCCTTGCAAGTGCTGACTTTTAGAATCTAAAACTACTACTACCTCATCTTTGTAGACAATTCAGATTTTGTCCTCACAGATTTGGTCCACTCACAACCTTTTCAATTGTGCATAGGAAACATCTTCCCATAAATAAAAATTATATAGGGATAAGTGGACTGCAATCCACCTCAGAAATCTGAATTGCAGCCCCCTCCTAATCTACTAGCAGCCCCCTAATAAACCGCATCTTACTGGTGAATATGTCATCAATCCATGGGCAAGATCCAGTCCACCCCTAAAAATCTTAGCTCCACCCTAGGGGTGGACTGAACTATAAAAACCCCTAATATTATAAATACGAAATCAGGAGGTTCTAGGATGCATGCATGTCCACCAATGTGGTAGGAGAGAAGTATTGCCCACAGGGATGCAAACAGATTGGATCATCATCCATGCATTCTGAATTTGAATCTAATCTGATTTTACTGGATTTGAATACCTCTGTCAGATTTTTGAATCAGATTGAAAAATCAAACGGATAGGGGTGATTCAAGGATAGGGGGTGATAGATTCAATTAAACATATTGGATCATGAGCTGATCTGAGTTCAAATCAAACATATGAATACATAATCAATATACCCTGATTCAAATCCAATAGAATCCATTTCTATAAGTAACCGATGAATTTTATTTTATTTTATTTTATTTCGTTTCAAAGTTCAATGTATTTGAAAATCAGATAAGGTTATGTTTGGTTTGAAGGAAAAAGTAGGGAAAGGAAGGGAAAGACAGAGAAACCATTGCAAATCCTGTATAAATTTCCTTGTCTTTCCCTTCCTTTCCCTTCCTTTTCCCTCAAACCAAACATAGCCAAATTCTCCATTTTCTGGGTACGACACTCAAATCAAATAGCATTTGAAAGTTTGATTTCTGACTTTCATCTTGGACAAATAAGACTTAGAATCTGCTTCAAGCACATAGTTTCATACTGAATTTCATTAAAATGTTGCTTCATCGCAATCTAGAGAGAACACAGCAAAACCGAGGGAGTTCTTCTTGGCGACTGGTAAAGCAAACCAATGTACAATGAGTATAAATTCACGAGTAATTAAAATTCCACTCCCTTGTCTTAAACTCATCTCATCTACTAATAACAGTCAATAATGAAGACTTATACTCACTGTAGCGGTACGTATTCTCCCTCATTTTATCTCCTCTTCTGTCTTCTCCTCTTAGTTTCATCTTCTCTCCCATCTCCTACGCTCTCCTCCTCCATCCGCTGCAACCCAGATGATAGAAAAGCCCTCTTGAGAATCAAGAAATCGATCAAAGCTCCCGAATACTTCGACTCCTGGATTCTCAACACCGATTGCTGTAACTGGAATGGTGTCGGGTGCAACGCCTATACCAACTGCGTCACCGAACTCCTCTTTTTTGAAATCAACACTCCCAAATTCCGTCTGCCATTGGAGACCTTCCGTTCCTCGATTCCCTTGACTTCTTTGGCACCAACAACCTCTATGGATCTATCCCCTACTCCATCACCAAGCTTCATAACCTCAAAAGACTTCGTATATGGAACACCACCTGGTCTGGCCCCATCCCCGAATTCCTCAGCCAACTTAGAAACCTGGAGTACCTAGATCTGTCCAAGAATCAGCTCTCTGGTTCGATCCCGGCTTCACTCGCAGACCTCTACAAACTAACTGAGCTTGACCTTTCATGGAACAGACTCACCGGAAACATACCCGACTCCATCACCAAGCTTCAAAACCTCAAAAGACTTCGTATATGGAACACCACCTTGTCTGGCCCCATCCCCGAATTCCTCAGCCAACTCAGAAACCTAGAGTACCTTGATTTGTCCAATAATCAGCTCTCTGGTTGGATCCCGGCTTCCCTCGCAGACCTCTACAAACTAACTAAGCTTGACCTTTCATGGAACAGACTCACTGGAAACATACCAGACTCGTTCGGGAGATTTAAGGGCGACTCTATTTGGCTCTCTCACAACAAGCTCTCCGGTAAGATTCCTGAATCGTTCGGCGAGTTGAACTGTTACGGGATCTACTTGTCTAACAATAAACTTGTTGGGGATGCATCGATGTTGTTCAAAGAGAACGGAACGACGCACGCGATAGATTTGTCATGGAATCTGTTCAACTTCGACCTGTCAAGGGTGATGTTCCCGAAGACGTTAGGCTACGATTGGATTTGACATTGCTGAATGTGAGCTATAATCGACTGTGTGGAGAGATCCCGTTTGGTGGGAAAGTTCAGCAGTTCGGCTACGATTCGTTCTTCCATAACCGGTGTCTATGTGGTCAGCCACTCCCTAAGTGCAAGTAGTCCGTACATGACAACGGAATTTTAAATTCCCAGCGTTCGTTGCATGTTAATTTACTTATCCTCCCTGGAATTTGGGATTTGAAATGTTGATATTACATATTTACTCCTTACTGAAAAGGGGACATTGCATATTTTGTACTAGGGTAAAATGGTAAAAACACAAAATATTAAGGTCTTTGGTTTTCTTCTTTTTTCCATGTGTTTACCATTTTCTAAGCATCTTATGAATAAACAGTGCATTGTTGAATGCTTTTTGTAAAATTACAACTTTTGTTTGTCTCCAAAGTTCGTTCTATCGTTGTTTGAGACTTTTTTGAGATGTGGTGGACACATACACCTGAAAAAAAAAAAAAAAAAAAAAAAACTGAGTTAAGACGTTCAATCGCTGCCCCATCTTCTATTTCTCTTCCTCTCTCCTCTTCTCCTTCTCTCTTATTTCTTTCTCTCATCACCTTGCAACGGTAATAAGTTGAATATTTGAATATTTTTGGAGAGAATTGATCGTCGGAATGGACTAATGTGTTTCAATACCAATGCACCAATGCTGCGATAGAGTATAAATGCAAATATAGAGTGCAAAACCTTGTATTTGAGGCTTAGTTTGAAAGGAGTACAAATATAAATTGAGTCTGAATTTAGAAGGAATACAAATACAAATATGAAAAATGTAAAATATTGTATTTTGTATAAATTTATACTGTACATATTTATATTTATACTTCTTCCAAATTCAACATAAAATTTTACACAATATTTTTTCCAATGGTAGTTCCTTAGTTCGATATAGACGATAAGAGTGTTCACATTAAATGTCAAATCGGTCCGATCCAATTCAAGTTGGTTAGTTTTTTAAAATCATTGATTGGTTTTGTTTTGTATGAAAAAATAAATCAATAATTCAGTTTGGTTTCAGTTTTCATGTATAAAAACCGAAGCCAAACCAAACCAATTTTGCATAATAATCAGTTTAACATGAAAAATTAATCGATTTAAATATATATTTTGATTTTACATAAAAACTAAAAAGAAAAAGATATTTAGATAGAGATATTTTAAATTATAATATAGATATAAACTGACTAAACCGATCTCTTTATCTTTGTATCGATTTTGTTTGATGGTTAATCGACTTCAGTTTAGTCAATAAATAAACCGACTACCCGACCCGTAAACACCCCTGATAGACGAATCGGATCACCTCCTATCAAAATAAGTTACAACACCCAACAGATTACAACATCTACACCGATTCATTAATCTCGTAGACATTTGACAAACTGGATCATAATCCATTTCCTTTATTATCTCCAGACAAAATGTATTTCATCGTTATCCCTTCAAGGAAAAAAGTTTCATCCCAACATAAAAGAATCCCACGTGTCGTGGATTGGTACTAGTCAATACATACAAGACAGGAAGCCACCTTTGCACACAGAGAACGACTTTGATTGGTTAATGTCGTCAAATCATAGACAGTCGCCATAGCCAAAGTGAACTCAACCTCTCTATGATCAGTAGCACACAGAGAGAGAGAGACAGATGAAAAGAAAACAAAAACAGGTGGAGCACATCTTGCTTGATTATTACCCGATGGAATCGAACCACGTACTCTACACCGACATTGTTTACAGCATCTATCGATAAATTCAACACTCCACTCCTCCATGTTCCCTCAAACTCAACACCTAGAAACTTCAAACCTATAGACTAATCGAAAATGAATAGTCACAGTAGCTCTATCTGCAAGACTTCACTCTGTTGTCTCCTTCCCCTACTCGTCTTCTCCTCTTCCCTCCTCTTCCCCACTCTCTCTGCTTCCTACGTCCGCTGTCATCCAGATGACAGAAAAGCGCTTCTAGCCATCAAGAAATCCCTCTCCCTTCACATCCCGAAGGACGAGACACCCTGGAACCCCAAGACCGACTGTTGCACATGGACATATGTCGACTGTAGCGAGGAAACCAACCGGGTACGCATACTCAACATCTACGAAACCAATTTCCACCATATTCCGGCAGCCGTCGGCGACCTCGCTTACCTGGAAAAGCTAATCTTCCATCACCTCGCCACCAAAATTACCGGCTCCATACCCTACTCCATCACCAAACTTCAGAACCTCAAATTGCTTCGCATATTTAACACCACTCTGTCTGGCCCCATCCCTGAGTTTCTCACCCAGCTCAAAAACCTCGAGTACCTCGAATTGTCCAACAACCAACTTTCGGGTCGAATACCAGCTTCCCTCGCCAATCTCAACAAATTAGGAGGACTTGACCTCGGAGGGAATAAACTCACCGGAAGCATACCCAACTCTTTCGGGAGATTCAACTCCCAAGGTGGTTTCTTTCTTTATCTATCCCACAACCAGTTGTCTGGTCAGATCCCTAAAGCACTGGGAGAATTGAACTTCACGGGGATTGATCTGTCGTACAACAAGCTTGTTGGGGATGCGTCAATGTTGTTCAAAGAGAATGGAGCGGCACTGTGGATCCATTTATCGAATAACCAACTTGATTTTGATCTTTCCGCGGTGAGGTTTCCGAAGGGGTTGATGGTTTTGGATTTGTCTCACAACAGGATTCGAGGTAGTATTCCAGAGCAAATCACAGAATTGAATTGGCAAGGACTGTATTTGAGTGATAATCGGTTGTGTGGAAATATTCCATATGGTGGAAATGTGCAGCAGCAAGGTGAGCATGCATTTATCCACAACCGGTGTTTGTGTGGTCCGCCACTCTCCACCAAGTGTAAGTAGTCCTGCAGCCGTGAATGGCAACAGACGAGAGTTTGGATTTTTCCGGTCTACGTTCTGCCGGAAAAGCAAACTTCAAGTTAGTTAATTGTGCTAGATGGAATGCTGGTTCGACTGGTCGGACTTGACACTGTGTGTTTGTAATGAAAATTTTACATCGGTTTCCTGTAACTTTCCACTTCCAGTTTGACTTATAGCAACTAAATAATCCACCAATTTCTCTGAAGATTTCCTTTTATATGATTAATAGTCCATCACTTCATCCCCAGTTTCATCAAATTGAATTTGCAAAAGGAAGACTTGAGTGTTTATTAGCAATCGTATGAGAAACTTGGGTTTGAGAATTGAATCTCTCGACCATTGACCAGAGTAACATACTGTGGCCTACCCAGTAATTAATACTGCGCAGAATACACCGCTGGTGTTAATTTGTTTTAATTGTGGCAGGGAATTGCAAAAGAACTCCTATCAAAGGAAAGGCATCTACTTCACAAGGGTCACTTTTGTCGTTGATGATAATAGAGGATTGGAATTCCAATTCAAGTTGTAGAAGTTAGGTTGACTCCACCCTTCTGAAGATCGAATTTGTCTGTTAATGGTTGCAATTACAAAAACGCCCACATCTGAAGTGTAGGGTGTTCGCTCTACAAGACAAAGTACTCTTGCCATTGGTGGTCTAGACGACCCAAATTCATAATTAGTCCGTATGCTTGTGGTCTATGACATATATGGTTAGTAAAATGTGCAATCACAATAAAACTATAATACAGAAAAATTTGTATAATTCAAGAATGAAAAGCATGATGAAATTTGATCAAAGCAAACATATATGATACCATTAAAACAACAATTCAAATTGAAAATAAATCAAATGTCTTGTACGTAGACTTGAAAAGCTTTAATCAGTGTTTTCAAATCATCGTTGATCCGGATGGTCGGACTATTTGGCCCAGAAACCATCCACGCAACTGGTTTCATTTCACCCTTGATCAGAGAATCGCTGACCCAAGTGGTTGAACCATCGACCTGTTAAGAAGAAGAAGAAGAAAAAGAAGAAAACAAGATTTGCACTTTTGTAGAGGTTGGAGAGAAATCAAATCTCAGGTTTGAGATATGTGACTGTTGCCGCTGCATCTGTTGTCGCCACCATCTCCATCGTCATTGCCGGCCTGTGAACGTCAGATCCTCCTCCTTCTTCCCTCCTTTCCTCATTTTCTTTCTCTCATTCCTTTCCTTTTTTTCCTTTCTCTCCTTTCTTTCTTTATTTCCTTTTCTTCTTTCTTTCTTTCTTCTTTTTTCTTTTTAGCCGACAACTACATAGTCTCTCTTTTCTCATATTGATAGAAGCCTAAAGGTTGCCCTAATAATCCAACCCCACCTGATTCTTTTGACTTGGATAGTCAAACAGTTAACCCAGAAACCTGTGATCATAGCAGTTTCGTTTCTGGATCGTTTTTAAAACCTTGATTTAATAGTGGGTATATCCTATAAGCTTCGCACAAAAAAAAGTCCGAAAAGCACCAAGACAGACATACTGAGAAGTAAAAGAGGGATCAAATACTCAAAAATAGGGGTATTAACAGTCTAGTTTGGAGAAGATCTCATTCCAAAACCAATAAACTACTGTGAAAATCAAACAAAATCAAACTATTTTGGTCCCAAAGTCCCCACCAGCAGGTTTAGTAAGATCTGCTGGTTGTAGTGCAGACTTAGGATTGAATCCCACCTGTACCTGGGTTGGGGGTATCAATTTGGGGGATGGGCTACCCTCGTTGTGTATCCCCTTGGAGCTGAAAAGAAAAAGAAAAGAACATTTTGGTCTGGTTTCTATATGGTTTGTGCTATTCTATTGGGCTATTGGGCTTAATCCAATCAGAAAGCCCAAATACATTCTGCATAAATGACAAACAAAATTCAAATATCAAAATGAATTGTTAACAAATGCCACCTTTTAAAGTCATATAAATTTCATTCACAATTTAACAAACATAAACAGATCCTTGGGCACATCAAATTACAATTTATTTTCATTGAAATGTTGAGTATGAAGTTCTCAAGAAACACACCGCTATTTTATCCAATGCAATGAGGATATATATGATTCTTTTTATTTTCATTCTTTTTTTTTTTTCTTGAAGAAGCTAAGAGATATCATTTTCTTTTGTTTAGTTCTTTTTCTATAACTTGACATTTTACCTTCTTCATTGATTGGCCAATTACAATTGAAATATATGTATTAGCTCAGGGAATTGTTAATACAAATGCTACCAAGTAGAGTAGATGACTTGGTTAAATGCATTAACCTTCTTATCTGATCTGCTAATTTGCCCCCATCCGTCCAATTCATCCAACTTTCACGAAGAACTCTAATGACAAATGTTATGTTTTAAACTCAAAATCTCAACTGCGCATGCTTTTACTTTTTTCCTTATTTTTTTCTCAATTTATGAGCTGATTTGCTTTACCATTTGAGTCAAATCCAATAGCACATACATAGACCTAAAGAAGGGAACCTTTTCCAATTAGACTGGGAGAGAATACTAACAATTCTTTAGATCTACAAAATTTCATCCATTCTAAGCCCTAAATACGAAACAATTTTGTTTTTCAATAATATGGAATTAGAAAATAATATTTTTGTAGTATTTTATCAATGTTCTTTTATTTTAATATTTATATTTCTAGTTTTCTCAATTTTGATAGAAAACTGAGTTTTGCATTTTTTTTTAATTTAAAACCATCATGGATTTCTTTATGAGGAAAAATAATTTAGTAAGTTTAGTTGGACATAAGAGTGAAACTTCAGTAAAAGCCCAGATGTTATTAGGATCAACACCATGGCCCAACCTCGTATTAGGGCAATCTGCAAGTTACAGTACTAGTTGATTGAGGTTTTTTAATGTTTAAGGGGAAGAGCTTATTTTGCATCGATAGCAAGTATTTGTACTGAAATTTGACCATGAATGAAATGCAAAGAGACAAAACCAGGACGATGAAAACCCACTAGCTTAAATCCCCAGAAACATATAAAACCAAAGAAACAAAACCAGGACGATATCAAAACCACATGTAGGAAAAGGATATTTGGATGAACATGGAGGTTGGTTATGGGCATACCATCTTTATACTTGTTTTGCTTTGTTTAAGTATTAACTGTTTTCTTTTCTTTTTCTCAGTCAAAACCTAGCAATTCTATTACCAACTAGTACAACGGACAAAGCTAGGGATTGTAGTAGTAGCTCGACATGGATGTTAATTGGATTGGATTTGGTCCGATCGGATCCAATCCAATGTGAGTCCATTATAAATGGATGAGGTCTAATCTAATTCAATAATTATTTGGGACCATTTTGGATTAGTATAATTCAATGTCTGCATCGTTCAACCTCTTCAAATTCGTTTTAATTTAGCTTGGTTTTAACTCAAATTAATCCAATCTATTTACACCTATATTCTTATTTTATATATCAATAAATCAGATATTGACTTAATCCAATTCAATTCAATATAAATTTATTATAAATGGACCAGATCCAATACAATCTAATCCAATCTAATGTCTTATTCATCCGTCCAATCTGTCTAAATGGATTTTAGACCGAACACAGGATTTAATCCAAAACTGACCCATGCACACCCTTACTTGAAACCCATATTTGAACTCCCGTTTGAACTGAGCATTTGAGGTTTGAAGTCGATTAAGAATGAAAAATCTCTCAGGAATTAGAATGGATGATATATACTATTTTGCAAGCAAGATTATTCCTTTTCATACACAAATATAATCATGATACGAGGCAATTTGACGTCGCTATGTACCTAAGCCAATCCGTGTTTCGTTATCAACTTCTCTATTTACGCCTACGCGTGATGTGTCTATTCAGTAATGAGCATGGACCATGGACTTTGAATAATGACACTGACACTGTAAATCTAGATATAATAAAGATAAAGAAATGGGTCCTACGCCATTAATTGTCTTGTTCACAGCAGTCTCATTCCAATGCCATTAGTTGAATCAGATCACAGAATTTCATTCCTTGGTTGTGGAACAAAAATCCCGGTTTTGGAAAGTTAAAGAAACTCCAGAGATGGCTGACTTCATCGCTTTGTACTGAACTACAGAGCTCAGAATTGGATGAGATCAAGCAATGGATCGAGCCTCTATAAATTGAAGACCGTTCTCTGCAAATTTTCTCAATCGGAAAAGAAAACGTTTCATCCTTAAAGAAAGGAGAACAATCGAAATGGGAGTTCATGGCATTACAGGTTCACTCTCTCTTCCCCTTGTTTTTCTCTTCCTAGTCTCCTCATCTCTCCCTTCTCTCACCATCTCCGCCTCCTCCTCCGTCCGCTGTCATCCCGACGACAAAACAGCCCTTTTAAAAATCAAGCAGTCCTTTACCTCAAAATTCCCTTCAGACGTAACCCCCTGGGATCCCAACACCGACTGCTGTGACTGGGGCTACGTCCAATGCGACGATCAAACCAATCGCGTCAACGTGCTCAACATTTTCAATACTGGCATGGATCGAATACCAGAAGCTATCGGCGACCTTCCCTACCTGGAAATTTTACAGCTCCAGCGAGTCACCAAAATTAGCGGCTCCATCCCCTACTCCATCACCAAGCTTCAGAACCTCAAAATCATCCGCATGTGGAGAATCAATCTCTCTGGCTCCATTCCCGAATTCCTCACCCAACTCAAGAACCTCGAGTCCCTCGACTTGTCCTACAACCGGCTCTCGGGTCCCATTCCGGCTTCCCTAGCAAATCTGCAAAAACTGCGTTACCTTTACCTCGACTGGAACAAACTGACAGGACGCATACCTGACTCATTCGGGAGATTCAATACCACAGGTGGTTTCTCTCTTGATCTATCGAACAACCTTCTGTCTGGTGAGGTCCCTGCTTCGTTAGCAGAATTCAACTACGTTTCCATCGACCTCTCCTACAACAAGCTCGTGGGTGACGTGTCCGTTTTGCTCAGAGAGAACGGAGCGGCCCAAAATGTGTATCTGTCGAATAACCTGTTCGACTTTGATCTCTCCAAGGTGAGATTTCCAAAGAACTTGTCGTTTCTGAAGCTGTCGCACAATAGAATTAGAGGAAGCATTCCGGAGCAGATCACCGAGCTGCCTTCGTTGCAAGTGTTTGACGTAAGCTATAATCGGTTATGTGGGAGGATTCCGGTGGGTGGGAACGTGCAGAACATAGCTGTGGGCTACTTTATTCATAATAAGTGTTTGTGCGGACCGCCACTCCCCAACCAGTGTAAGTAATCCGGCACCGGCGGAAGAGAAGAAAGGGAATTTGGGAACAACGGGACACCATAACAATGTTCAAAATATATATTAATTATAGTATTAGTACCTCCAATAAGGCAATAATCTATAGTCGTCTGTAATTTATTGTTCTTTTTTGTTGTGGTTGCATGTGTGCAACGCTTGATGTGTGATATGTTTCAATTTCAAATAAAATTGTATTTGTTTGCCGTGCAAATTCATTTGTAGTAATACGAATGCGTGGGAGTACAAATCAGAAATGTGTAAAAATTTTTTACTTTGGCTTTTGCTTTAATTTAACTTTTATTGTAATTCATTTGAACTTCAAACAAGGTCAAATTAATTTTGAAATGAAAATAAGGATCCGTTAATTTGTTCATCGGAATAAAGGTATGGAATTGGAATTCGATTCCCATTCCTATTGGAATGACATTTACTCATTTGAGAGAATCATCATTTCCTCTCCCCATTCATTAAACCATTATTCTGAATTCAAGAGAGGTTTTAACCCTAAGGCTCAATTTGGAAGGAGTACAAATACAAATATGCACAGTGTAATTACATACAATATAATACAAAATATAAGGTTTTGCACTCTACAAATTTGCATTTGTACTCCTTCCAAAATGAGCTTAAATTAATTTTGCATTCAATTTATTTGCATTCCCATGCTTTAAATGAAATTGCAATGTAAATATGGGGGTAGAAATGATGAAAATACAAACACTGCAACACTTGTTCATTAGATGTGACTTGGCACGTGCAATTTGGTTTCAATCTCAACCTTCAAGAGATCAAGTACATGGTAATGGGACGAAGCAAATCTATATATATATTAAAGGAAGGCTTTGAGGCAACAGCCCCCACCATCCATCACATGGATTTTTCAAATTTAGACACATGGCATTTTTTGAGAAGTTGTTATTAAAGCCCCCGGCTGCTCATTATCACCATTCAAAAAAGTAGATTTCTCATTTTCTAGAGAGTTAGACATGTAACATTTTCTGAGAAATTCCTGTTAAAGCCCACAACCCACTACCAAACTACACCCCCCCACCATTCAAACACATAGCCCTCATTTTTCTAGAAAGTTAGACATGTGGCATTTTTTGAGAAGTTGCTACTAAATCCCTCAGTTAATCTTTAACTCTTTATTTATCATAACAAAAGAAAATTATCCATATTCTAATAATTTTTGAAAAGCTATTTTTTGAAATAAATATTTATTGAAATTTTAATAATTATTTAAAATATTAATAAATATAAATTTAACATTATTGATTCCATAAATATAAATTTAACATTACTGATTCCCCATACTTACTACGGGGTCATTCACCAGTAACAGATGAATGAGATAAAAACTGAAAAAGCTTCTAAATAAAAATGAACAAAAATGTGTAAGGATAAAATATTGAATAAGAAAAACCAACACCCAGGATTAAATCAGATAACCAGAAAAATAAAAAGAGAAGTTACCCAACTGAGGAGGGACAATGTGTATTGTTTATATATTTATGGGTTGTTTGACCTAGATACAAAAACTTGGGGACAGGTATTTGTATTGAACTCTTTTAAAAAACCATTCAACCTAAAATCATTAGTTGTTAGGGGATGCCTTATGCTGAAATTTAATTAATTAATTATAATGGAGGAGATGACAATCAAATACTAGATTACTTGATAAAAAAAGGCTTTGTTACCATCTTAAAGAACCATTCAACTTAAAAACTTAACTTGTTTAATGAGATCCCTGAATAGTATTTATTCTCTAAGTAAGAAATTGCTTTGAAAAAATGTAAGGGAAAATTACAGATCTCCCTCCCCCATTTTCATTTTCCAAAAATCCACCCTAAACTTTCAGATTCTAGTTTTACCACAAAAAAAAGGAAAGAAACTTTCAATTCTAGCACCTTGTTCCTTCATTAGCAATTTGTCACTTAACTTTAACTTCAGAGATGACTGTCATGTGCATTTTTCTAAATTTCTAAAACACTAAACCACCCTTGTATCATTTTATGAGAACATTTTGCAAAAAAAAAAAACTCATGAAATACAATAAAAAAAACAGAAAATAAAGAAAAATTAAGAGATTGCATACAAATACATTAAATACAAATAAATAAAGAAGAAAAGTGGAAAATATAGAAAAAAGGAAAATGAAAATACACTAATTTTTGCAAAAAACAATCTAAAAATGAAAAAGAAGTTCCCATGCATTAATATACCTATTTTCATTATTTATAATATTTTCTTATCTCAGTCAGCATCCATCGAATTTTGAATGGGCATTTTAGTTATTTTACTATTACAGTCAACCCAAGATGCTTAGTAACAATCCAATTATCAAAGTATTAGTTGAGTCTATATAAATATCCAAGGGCAAGAATGAGGACTCTGTGGGCTTGAAGCTCTTGTGCCCATAACATCAATTCGCATTTTATATGGGTTCATTCAAGTCAAGGGGCGGATTTCATTCTCTCTTTGAAATTCTTGTGGTTAATTCCGAAAAGAACAAAGAAAAAGATTTGTGCTTGTAGATACGCCGACAACGTTGAAGGCGAGGCGGAAATAAAGCTTGACTTCGATCTGTACACAATCATACAAATGAAGAAGAAGAAGACTAAACACAAAACGACAAGGGAAGAAGGAACCCGTCTCGTTGATCACTCAAACTCCATTTTGTTGTATTTAGCGGTATTAAAGATGATCCCCTCCATATTCTCTTTGTTCAATTTCAGAGAGCAGTCTGAAGACCTCTTCTGCTCTTCATCCACTAGATGGAAATTTACAGCACTGGTAGTGGCGGTTCACTCCCTCTTCGTTTTCTTCTCTTTCTTCTTCTTGTTTCATCTCCTCTCCTCCTATCTCCCGTTCTCTCCGCCTCATCCGTCCGTTGTCATCCCGCCGACCGAGCTGCACTTCTACGTATCAAGGATTCCTTTTCCCAAGAAAGTCCTGACAACTTCACGTCTTGGGATCCCAACATCAACTGCTGCAATTGGGCTTTCGTCCAATGCGACGACAAAACCAACCGAGTTAATTCTCTCACAATTCAACAAACCGGCGTTCGTCATATCCCGGCAGCCATCGGGGACCTTCCATACCTGGAAAGACTAACGTTTGAGGACTTCCCCAAACTTACCGGCTCCATCCCCTCCTCCTTTACAAAACTTCAGAACCTTAAATTGTTTCAAATATGGAACTCCGGTCTCTCCGGCCCCATCCCCGAATTCCTCAGTGAACTCAGAAACCTTGAGTACCTCGAGTTGTCCCAAAGCAAGCTTTCGGGTCCAATCCCATCTTCTCTAGCAAATCTCAGAAAACTGGCAACTCTTGTACTCAAGTCGAACAAGCTCACAGGGCACATACCGGACTCATTCGGGAGATTCAACACCGACGTAACAGGGGGTTTCACTCTCGATCTATCACACAACCAGCTGTTTGGTGAGATCCCCAGATCGCTTGGACAATTGGATTACATGACGATCGACCTATCTTATAACAGACTCGTCGGCGACGCCTCCTTATTGTTCAAGGAGAATGGAGCAGCACAGTATATCTATTTGTCGAATAACGATTTCGATTTTGATCTGTCCAAGGTGAGGTTTCCACAGAATTTAACATTTCTGGTATTGACGCATAATAAGGTCCGAGGAAGCATTCCGGAGCAGGTGACGGAGTTGGATTCACTGTTACTGTTTGATGTAAGCTATAACCGGTTGTGCGGGAAGATTCCGGTAGGTGGAAACATTCAGAAGCTCGGAATTTTCTCGTTTCTACATAATCGGTGTCTCTGTGGTCCGCCACTCCCCATCAAGTGCATGTAGTTCAGTGTGGCACTCAAAATTTCCGGTATACTGTCTTCACCGGAGAACTCATGGCTCATGTGGTGTGGTGTTGGTTATTTCTTCTCTCTTTATAATAAACCTAACGTATTGATCGGAATCCTCTCCAGTTAAATTGTCAAATTTATTTGGAGATAAGAAAGAACCTATTGGGTTAATTGGACTTTTGGCTCAGTTTGGAAGAATTACAAATTCAAATGATAACCCACAAAACTCAAAGAGGGTTTCTTAACTGATGATTACCAACAAAACCTGCGTGGGCCGGCCCATCTAACCCAGAAATTTCTAGGCTACACCTAACCAAAAACATGTTTTTTGTATTTCTATTTTAAGAAACAATCTATATTCAAATAAAATGTTTTTGATTTGTTTTTGGAACCGACAAAAAGTAAAACATTTCAAAGAGAGAACCATTTTCAATAGATGGATCAATTATGAATATTTCCAAAAGGATCTTGTGGCTGATCCAATGGGAGAACCATTTTCAGTCCAGCTTTGATAGCTTGGAGTTGAGGCATGAGAATAAATTTTACATTGAAGCTTGGCCAAGCCTAAGCCCAGTTGCATAGGCCCAGTCTGAATACTGTTGCATTTGATGGTATCTGTGAATCCGCAGAGCTAACCTAGTATGAAATTTTATCCTTCATTTCTCTCTCTCTCTCTCTCTCTCTCTCTCTCTCTCAAGCATGAATTTATTTTTATTAAATAAAAAATTGTATTAATTATCATAAATTAAACGAATTGCTGTGCTATAACCAGTAGGCATGGTACTCCTCATGGTCCAGTGGATCCAAAATTGAGGTCCACTAGGACCATTACAAAACCGTTTGCAGCCCAGCCCTACCCAAGAAATTGCCAATCCAATTTCCAGGTTGATTTTCATGAGTGGTTTCCTTCAATAAAACCATGCAAAATATGGAGATTTCCTACACGGCCTGCCCTTTTTTGCCACGTAGATTGATGATATGACCAATCGCAGCCATTCATTAGAAAGGAGACGGTCTGGACTAACCAGTTTTTCAATCTTCTGTCCACGTCAACATTTGCCCCATCTTATTATATAGTTCCCCACATTACCAACTAACCGAAAACAGACAAACACATTCGGAAGACTGAATATTGCTAGCAACAATACATCTTCTGTGTACAAAGGTGTTAGAACTCAAATGAGTCGCTCAGAAAACCTAATGGGGTACTGCCCTTCCCTAAAAGGGCTCCATTACTTCTTTTTCATTGTGTGATTTAGAAGTGCTACATCAGAACAGGAATGGAAACGGGCCACCCGGCCCAATAGGCCCAGATCGGGGTATCTAGAAATTCCAAACTGGGCCCAAAGGTGATATGGGCTTGAAATATGAAGGCCCCTAAGGCCAGGGGGCGCCATTCAACCTGAATTTTTCTGTGGTTGTATCTCTACATAGTATATAATTCTTTATAGGTTACAAGAGTCGTTGAATCTTCAATTCAAATACCAGATAAATTGTATTTGGAAGGATACAAATACAAATAATTTTATATTATTTTCTATGCATTTACACTGATATTTGTATTTGTACTCCTTCCAAACTGAGCATTAGTTCTTGAATCTCATTTCTTCTCTGAACTGAATCCATTGGTTTCCCTTTTCCATTCCAACTACGGATTTTTGTATTATTTTTATAGACAAATTTTATGTATAGCACACGGAAAGCGACAAAAAGCAAAGGAATCAATAAATGATAAAGAAAGACAGGAAGAAGAAACCATTGACGACATTCTATTTTCTGTGTTTTGGGATTTTGGTTGACGTTGAATCAGAACGCATAATGACTGGTCAATATTCCGTTCCAAAACGTCTATAAATTCAAAGCTCTGTCTCTCCATCTTTCCTCGAACCAGTGAATTGAAACTGATAAACATTCGAATCTGAACAACAGTGGTGTCAGGATGCCTTCTGTTAGGATTAAACTCTGAATTACCGATTAATTAGTATGGCAAGAAAAAATAATTGAGGAATATGTGAATTATAAAGCAAATAATAAGAGCAAAAGAAAGGTAAAGATGGCACCAGATTTACGTGGTTCGGTCAAAGAGACCTACATCCACGGGAGAAGAAAGAAAACATGTTTATTCATGTCCTTGATGAGAGAACTACAAACCGACCACCTTACTAGTGCCGAAATGCCTATAACAAAGCCTTGAAGCACTCA